CGCTAAGAGTTTGCCATAAATCTGAGGAGACTTGGGACTCAGACTTTTTAGCTGAAACTGTTAGGACTTTGGCAACTCTTAGAGATAGACTAAATGCGTTTTGCATAAAGGATGTTCATGAGTCTTTGAGGGGCTAAGGGCAGAATGTTATGGCTTCTGTCCAAATGTCCCCCAAAGCTTCATACAGTCATAGGTGGGGCTTTTTCAGAGGTGGCTGGATCTAGAGTGTGTAATGCTGGAATTGATTCATGCTGCAATGCTAGGATCAAGGGCACTAGGATTAAGGGTGTAAGTGCTGGGCTGGTAGCCTGGGTAAGATACAAGGAATAAAAAGCTGTGGTTGTCCCTGTTGCTTTGTTACCTTCTGCCCTCCATGAACTGCTTCTCCTCTGCAATCTGGTCTGCCAAGTCACCCTGCCTTGGAGCCAGTCAATTATGGACTAAAACCTCTACAAACTTTGAGCTAAATAAACTCCCCCGCACCCAGTAAACTTTGAGTGTCAGTTATTTTGTCTCATAAACAAGAGAAAAGTAACCAAGACAAGGGTTTACCTAGCATATGTACAAGGCCCTGGGTTCACTCCCCAAAACGGGGAAAAAAGAGAGAGAAAAGGGAAAAAGCCAACAAAACGTGAATAGGAAATGAGAATAATGCTAAATCATTCCACAGAGGAAAGAAGTGGGGAGAGATAATGTTGACAAGCAGGTTAACCTAACCTCACGGAAAAGTTCAGAAAACAGAAGTGATGCCTTCAAGGGGAATAGGTGTAAAAACCCACAGAAGAATAGTCTGACAAGTCTAACTCTTCTGTAGCCACAGAAGACTAGAGGCTTAGCCCTGTAAAACATCAGAAATGTACTCCACTAGGGAACAGAAGCCACAAAGAAATCCAGGAGTGAGCTCCTTCACAGAAAACAGAAGCTTGGGAAAGAGCCACCTGCTGAACCAGAGGAAGACCCTCTTCTTTCCCTTGCCCCTTAATCAATAGCTTCAAGATAGCTTCCAACTGACAATGGTTCAACTCAGAATTTTTCAACTTTATGAGGGTGCAGGCAAGTGCATTAAACAGGAACCATATTTTGAACTTTGATCTTCTGGGCTACAACATGCAGTTCCATCTCTCCTGAGTAGCTTGGCAGTGGCACTGAGCCCATAAAAATCACAGGGGTAAACTTACAACCCCCATACTATAGGGTATTGTGTTGCTGAGTTCTGATGTCCAGTAAGTTAGGTATACTAAATGTATTTACAACTTAAATTACTCTCAACCTGCAAGAAGTATATCAGCATGTAACCCCTTTACAAGCTGAGGAGCATCTGTACCAATAAGGCAAGAGACTGATGAATCACTCTCCAAGGAAACCAAACCATCCCTGAGAACAGACCATTGGACAGGAACATTTGCTGGAGAACAAAAACAGCAGCCAATCATTGCCCTACACTGAAAACTAGGAAATAAACACACCCTCAAATACTTGGCTTTCCAGGTTTTACTTTATTCTTTTTTTTGAT